GCAAATGTTTATGGAGCAACTATGGAAAGAGAAAACGGTTAGGTGCTTGGGCCTCAATGTTTGTATATATAGACTTTGTTCTGGTTGGAAAAATTGACATACCACTTAGAAGCAGTGCTCCTAAGTTTTTTGTTTTTTTTTTCCATCAAAGAACCCTAATGAAAGAACATTCCAGGAGGTCTTCTGCTTCTTGTCGTTTATGGTCTTTCTGCATTTCAGTGTTTCATTACCTCAACATCACTGCATCCTTCTGAAGTGCCTGTCCTCTGGATGGCAGAAACTACTCTTCCCAGACACTGCTTCACCTCTGGTTCTACGTCAGATGGACCAAGGAGAGGTATTCCCAGAGAAAAGGCAAGGCTGAAGGGAGTGCAGGCCACCTGCTCTGGTGCTCTGACAGCCAAGCAGGCTGATGGCAACCCCTTGAGATCCACTGGCGTGACTGCCACAAGCTGAGGAGACAAGAACTTCCAATGACTGGAGATTCAGTGACTCTGGGCCATCCTTGCTGCTGCTGCTGCACTCACCTTCTGCTGTAGGTGGAAGCTCAGAAGTGAGCATACTGAAACCCTTTTCTTTTACATCAAGTGGCTGGTTCCCTGACTGAATCCTGATAGAGATGTTAATTTAAATTATCATAAGGAGAGACCTGAGTTTTCCCAGTGTCTTCCTAACTTAGTGAATGAGCTTCACTCTGTCCATGGACTTTGTGGGACCCCGCGCTGACCCTGCGTGTTTACATCCAGGCATTCTCTTCACTACTACCTGTGCTACAGTGTCTTATGACACAAAATCCTAAATACATGGGGAATGGTCTTCTCTTCATTGACTCATGAACTGTAACTGGGCAATGTTAAGTAGAGATGTCATGCATTTTGTCAAAGGGGTACCACACATATATTCATTTTCAGCTCCCACCAGTATAAATTTTGCTAAGTGTATTTCCTTGCTCAGAGATCAAGCCGCTCAGATCCTATGGTAAGCTTAGCCTCTGAGAAGTTTTGGATCCACAGGTCAGTTTTTTGTTTTTATTCGTTGAATCATGAAAATATACAACTTTATATTTTAAGATGCTATTACTTACCACTAATGAGGAATTTTTATCACATTTAAATGAACTAAAAATTGTTACCCAACTCATAACTTACCCAAATAACTCTCTTCATCCCATTCTGAAAATTTTATTGTAGCAACCTGATCAGGTAAAAAGTCAATTTCATCTTTAAAAAAAAAAAAAGCTGAATAAATTACCCTTATGAATTGCTCTTAATTATATAAATGGTGGACAATGACTTTTTTTTTTTACACAGGTTTTATTTTTTATTAGAACATTCTTTTTTCCAATTAACAAAACAAAAATTGTGTGTGTGTGTGTGTAATATATATATATATATATATATATATATATATATATATATATATATATATGTCAGCATTGTAACAGCTGTAATGACCGGTCACTATAATGGCCAGCAAACCAGCTGATGACGGATGGAGCTGGCTGGCCAACCTCATGGCCCCTCCCCCCTGTTGGCCTGTCTCTGATCAGTCTCTTCCATCCTGATCAAGAGCTGGCCACTGTCCAAATACCCCCTCCCTTTCCCCCATCCAACACCGCCCCCGATCAGTCTGCAGCCCCTAACCCTGGCTGGCCCACTCCTGATTACCTCCCCACCCCAATAGGGGGGGTAGCTAGGCAGCCAACATCCTGTAGCCTCTCCCCCCACCGAGTCCCACCCAAGATTGGACCCACACCCCATGAGGGGCAGGACCGGCTGACCAACCACCATGGCCCCTCCCCAGCCCACTGACCCCCCACTTGGGGGTAGGGCCCGCTGGCCAATCGCCCCCAGCCCCTCCCCCCAGCCAGCCCAGCCCTGATTGGGCCCCAAACAGGGTGGGCTGGCTGGCCAGCCAACCTCTTGCTGTCTCCTTCTCCTGACAGGCCCAGACCCGATCTGCCTCAATTTGGGCTGGCCGGCCGGACCCACCCATGCACAAATTTGTGCACTGGGCCTCTAGTACCAACTATAAAAGCTATTCTGCACTTTTCTTGCTAAACTACAGACTAATTTTGTGGAACAAGAAGTCTTCAAAAGTCATTTCTTTCTTTATTATAAAGCTGTCTAAGAAGACTGGTGGTATTCAAAACACTTTATTGTGTAGAAAATTTTGCCATCATTAACAAAAGTAGTGAAGACCCTGTAGAACTCAGTGGCAATTGTTCTGCAGCACAGTGTTCTCAATCAAGGATGCAGATGCTGCCATGGGAACGGGGCATGCTCAGTGGCCTGATTCCAGGTGCTGTTCCCAAGGTTTGCTGTCCTAGATTGAGTTCCATCTGTATCCACATCTACATATTTTTTGGAGTGATCCCATGCCCACTAAAAGAAAACAACCTGCATTATGTTGAAATGACACCAATTATTCTTTTACCATCAATCACTGCAAAACCAAAACATTTTCATAATATTTAATAACCAATACAATGGCCAAATACTTCATGCCACACTGTCATTCAACTTAAAAACAGAGGCTGGTTAACCTCAGTCTGCGTCATCCAGCATGTCTTTGGAGCACATTGAAGTAAACAATATGTGTCATTTGATAAGGAAACTTCTTCAGTTTCAGACTCAGTTTGCCTCAAACAATTCCGATATGTTGACAGTCATTAAAACAACTCTAATTTTATTTTCTATAGTGTAAGCTTTGCCACCTTTCAAAGAGATTTTAAAATCTAAAGAAAATATATATTAAAAAACAAAACAAAACAAAACAAAACAAAATGCCCTGTTTGGCTCAGTGGATAAAGTATCAGCTTGTGGACTAAAGGGTCCCAGGTTCGATTCCAGCCAAGGACACATGCCTGGGTTGTAGGCTTGATTTCCGCCTCCCCCCCTCCAGGAGGGGGCAGGCAGGAGGTAGCCTATCAATGATTCTTATCACTGATTTTTCTATCTTTCTATCCCTCTCCCTTCCTTTCTGAAATATATATATATATATATATATATATATATATATATATATATATATATATAAAGGAAAACTTCAAAAATTTTAAAATTTTGCCCTAAGTGGTTTGGCTCGGTGGATAGAGCATAGGCCTGTGGACTGAAGGGTGCCAGGTTCGATTCTGGTCAAGGGCGTGTACCTTGGTTGCGGGCATATCCCCAGTAGGAGGTGGGCAGGAGGCAGCTGATTAATGTTTCTTTCTCAAAGATGTCTCTAACTCTCTATTCATCTCCCTTCCTCTCTGTAAAAAAAAAAAAAAAAAAAAAAAAAAAATCAATAAAATATACATTAAAAAAAAAATTCTAAAGTTTTGGTGACTGCAAATCCTTTTTTTCCCCCCCCCTAATCAAGACTTTTATTTCTGTTCCAAATATTTTGTGCAAATTTCCCCCTTCAAAATTAATGATTCTTAAAAAAAATGCAAGTCACTGAAGTTCCTAGTTTTAGTCACTGATTTGTGTTCTAGTTAAAATCACTGATAAATTATTAAACTTTAAATAATGGTGCTAACATCGTGCCAAAAATTAAGTGCTTTTGCTGTTCTTGGGAACTTACCATAAAATAAATAAAGGCAATGATAATAATCTTTAAAGTACAACTGGGACAAAACCCCACACAACTGAAGTGATCTGTGAAGCCATCAGACTTCCACAGCCATAGATGCTGGGTGTGACAGGAAACTGCAGGCTCTCCTGCACTTACAAAGAACGAGTCTGGTGGGCTCGCATTGACTTCCGAGCAGGTAGGAAGTATGAGTTCTCCCCGCATCACCCATCACCTAATATATACCTATTTAGCTGTGTGTTTCTTGTTCCCACATGAAGCTCATAGCTTGCCAAAGAAAACACTGCCTTTGCTATCAAACTGCTATATAAGAACATTATAAAATACAAACTACAAACTAAGATAATCCTCTTTACAGTATTCAGATTAGTGCATTAAAACAGCATTGACTTTAAAAAGGCAAGTGAGTTAATTGGCAAACACCATTTTTTTTCCCCCAGTGATGATGGTACAAAATGGTACTCAGGGTAAACACTATATTTTAAGTGTTGGGTGCCGAAAAACAGAAAAACATTCATTGTGGAACAGTTACTTCCCAGATAATTTTGACCTCAGGATACAAATGTGGCCATTGTTCTACAGGATGTAAGGAAAAAAATCATTAATTTCCATTAAAATAGCTGTGGAAATGCACAGCAGAGTTACAGGTTGGAATCTTTAGAATTCTAGCACAACAGGTATTGATTTGTCTACTCTCCTTCCACATCACATCAAACATTTAAAGTGACTACACATTCCCCAGTAAATGTCAGATTTAAACAGAGCCTATGTAAAAAAAAATCTACCCTTCTTCCTATTTCACTAGGCAATCTACAGCAAATGCTTAACATATATACATCAGGTATTTGAAACATTTCACTGACTTTATTCAGAGTAATCAAGGGTCTTAAGATAAGACAACAGTAAAAGTTGAATAGATAATTTGTGCTGGTGTAAACCAGAAAAAAAAAAAAAAAGCCAACAGAAACAGGTTAATTTGTTTTAAGTTTTTGAGAATATTTCCTCTGCTGGCCATAATTCAAATTAAATTTGAGATTTTTAATTGAAGTAACACAAGTCTGGGTGCATGTTACACTGAGACAGATGCCCACAGGACACACACATACACCTTTGAACTTATTAATTCCAAAAATCAAGTCAACATGATAAATAAATTATACATGAAGGACATATACAATGTGGGCAAACAAACTAAGAGTTATTAGACCAAAAATCATGGAAGTTATGCCCAGCACTGATATTTAGAAAAACTTTCAGTATTAGGAAATAACATATTTGATCCAAAGGAAAATTTCCCCCAAATAAAAAGTATGGGAGCCGTCCTTTATGCAACACCTTTAAAATAATAAAAAAAAAAACATGATTTCAGGAACTTTCCTACATAATTTAGGTAACTCAGTGCAACAGCGTGCTCCTTCATAATTTTATCTTTTCACTCCCCATATGACACCAATAATTACAATTCCGATGACAAGGAGAGAAATGATGATGCAGATGGTTTTTCTGGATTTGCGCTGCAGATGCAAAAACAAAAACATGTTTACAAATGTAGAGAAGCCATTGCTATAGCAACTGAAAATCACTTGTTTTCTTTCTAGAGTAAAATTGCCCCCAAAATTCTTGGCTGTATTTTTTTGCTTCTTAAAGATTTCTTCAATTCACATGGAACTATTTTTTCAAAAATATTTTTCTCGAGTGACGGGGACAAGGGGTAATCATTCAACTTTTGTCGGTATTTTTTCTGGGGTAGAAGACACAGGAAAACAAAAACTACTGATTTAAAGCGTTATACTGAGGTTATCTATATATAAAAACAAAGAACAGCTTAAAAGCTTAGAAATTTTAGAACTTTCATCAAAAAGATGTTCTTATAAAAAAAGTTGTACTTCAAATTTCCAGTTCTAGAAATTGTCACAGGGATAAAAAGTATAGCACAGGAAATATAGTCAATAGTATTATAATAAGTATATGTTAGTGTCAGATGGGGTGATCACTCCATAAGGTATATAAATATCTAATCACTATGTTGTATATCTGAAATTAATATAATATTATATTATCAACTATAATTGAAAAATACATTTTTTTTAAAGCAGCTGTTCTTCAAAATGAGTTCTCTGAAAATGTTAGCAAGTATAAGTGTTGAACAATTTTTCCCAAGGTTAATTTATTAGTTTCCAAAATCATTCTCATTTTTTCATATTCATGAAAACTGCATTCAAAATCTCAACGTACAAATAAAAAAAACAAAGAGGCAAAAAAAAATTAAGATACAGTCATTTAAAATATAAAGGTTAAAGATTTATTCCATTCTTCATTCCTGGCCCAGTTGTAGATTTCTATATTTCTTAGTGGCTTGTGTATCTCACAGCAGCATGCAGGAATCCTTTTTCTTGCAAAGTAGAAAAATTTGTAAATTTACTTTGTGTCAACCAGAAATGCCATTCAATGTACAAAAAGATATGTTTCTGATTCTGAAGTTACCCTGAAAATGGTGAATACTTTCAGTATTCCATATATTCATCTAATTTTTCAATTGAATACTCCTTATATATAAAACATAATTCCTCTACAGTTTCAATATCATGCTTACATATCATGCTCCAGACCCTACTTGGTCACCCCAGACAGGTGTAATGCACCTTTAAGAACAGTCACAGGTATGCATTCCACTACAGTACGGCTGTTACCGGGGGAACCCTCCCTAGGGTCGGGTGGTGAGGCTCTTTGGGTGCTGCAGTGGCAAGAGCATTTATTGCCTTCTTTTATGCTCATGGTCCACCCAACCTATTTAGAAGTGCCCTATTTTGCCAAGGCAGCAGTTTACTATCAAGGCTCCAAGTAGGACTACTGGAAAGAGGCTCTTTTCCTGGGATCTGTGTTACATGGCTCTTTTCTCATCCCTCAGGGCCTCTCGAGTTAAGCAAGAGGGCAGCTCCAGTTTTGGAGGTGCAGCCTGGGAAGATGTGTTTCTTTTCCCAGGGAGGCTGCAGGAAGAGGAAAAGTAAAACTTTTATATATCTACATCCCCCCAAAGCCCAAAAGCCAAATGAAATAATAGGTAAGCCCAGTCACTGACGAATCCTGCTACACACTACGTTTGAGCAGTTGTAACTGTTGGCATTTACAGATGACCCTGTGTGTAACTATTTGTGAGAAATACAGTCTATGACAATGATGTTAATTCTTCAGCGGGGCATATCTGAATCACATGCAAAAGGACAGTAAATATGCATTACTCCGTCAGTGAATACAATTGGCTGTAACTCAGCATCTCTAGACAGCTTCATTGTTCTCTATATATCAATGAATATGCAGTGATCTGTCCAGTGATAAAATGACATTGACATTAAAGGAATTTTAATAATTAGTGAGAAAAGTAAAAAGCAACCGGAAATATCTAAGATGGTACAAATCTTAGCTATTTTATAAGAAGGTAACAAGGTCTGAGAAAATAATTATGGACAACAACAAAAATGAAGGTTTGAAAAGGAAGTCAAATCTTTAGGTGGGACTTAGTGGTTTCCAAAAAGCCTGGCCTTTTTTCCTTTAGAAATCGAAGGTGTACATATTAAACAATATATTGATAGTGCATGGTCCTCATATGCATATAGTATATTTTACACATACATATGGACTCCTCGTATTAACCTGATTTACTTCAGAAGTCAATTTACTCCTAGTGAAGGGCTTGCTGAATGCTGACAGAATACCTAATACCTAATAGTCAAGGACAATGAATTCAGTGAAACCTCGGTTCTCAAACTTAATCTGTTCTAGAAGGTTGTTTGAGAAGCAATTTGTTAAAAAACTGAATCATTTTTCCCCCTTAGAAATAATGATCACTAAAGATTATTTTCATCTTTCTTATATATAATATATGTCTAAAGTACTGTTTAATCTATAAACAAACACTTCTCTTCTTATACTTATCAGACCACCCCTCCTAGCCTTAAAGGAGTCACGTTCAGCACTCAGTCCAGGGGTGCCTTCCAAGTCAGCATGCAGCATATCACTGCCTCCGAAATGCTATCACCGGCTAACTGCTTTTCCTTCATCCAAATCAACAGCAGTTTGCTACCTCTTCCACTGCCTGTGATTACTGTTTCTTTACACCCTTAGCAACATTAGCACTTCTTATGTTTTAAAACTGATTTCACAGCAACAAAAGCATTTTCTCTGTTGTTTGCTGCATGAGAGACGCTTTCTGTCTTGCTGAGGTATAAGTATGAAAGGGTTGTCCGGTTGAAAAGGAAGTTTGGTAATTTCAACAGCCGAGACATTTTTCTGTGAACAACTTGAGAACTGAATTGTTCGAGATGGGAGATGTCTAAGAAACGAGGTTTGAATGTATGATCTCCACAGGACCTGAAGAGATCTCTGTAGGACAAAAGTTCTTGCTTCTTCAGTTCACAGCATCATTGACAAGAAGGGAAGAGAAGATGGAGGGGAACAGTGAGAAACAGGCTGTCCAAGAGGTTCTGAGTTGGAATGTCACAGTGACATCAGAGCCTGTCAGAAAAGCCTGGCGTCCCTGCCCTATTGTTCCCCTCAGGAGGCCAACCATTGAAGTTCCTATTCTTGTGGCCACAATTCTGGTTCGACCCTGAAACATCCAGGCTCACTGCAGTTTACACTGCCTGGCATATTTCTGATCTGTCTTCCATGGGATTTTCAACTTCCACTTTACACCTGATCACTCACACTCACACTCACACTCACACTCTCTCACACAGTTAAAAGTCCAGTTATAAGACAATTTACTCAAGTTAGTATTACCTGATAATCTGATGCCCTCGACAGCTGCTGGTTTGCTTGCTGAACGTGCACCTCTGCATTTTCGACGTTGGCTTCTATGCTATCTGTAAGACAAAACACATACGCACCGCTGTGAGCACATGTTGATGCTACAGTGAGAGAGCTGCACGAGTCACTAGATTTCACTCAAGGTAAGATCAAACGTGTTCCTTATCCAAAGTTTAATATTACCATCTGATCCAAGGCAATGCAATTGCTCACTGGATCCCTGAAACAGCCCTGTGAGTTTCTAGGGCAGTGGTCGGCAAACCGTGGTTCAAGAGCCACATGCGGCTCTTTGGCCCCTTGAGTTTTTAGCAAAGGCCCAGCTTAGGAGTACCCTAATTAAGTTAATAACAATGTACCTACCTATATAGTTTAAGTTTAAAAAATTTGGCTCTTAAAATAAATTTCAATCATTGTACTGTTGATATTTGGCTCTGTTGATTAATGAGTTTGCTGACTACTGTACTATGGTGAGAGAAGAGACTTAGAATGGACAAATAATAGTTCTATTGACTATATAGGTTCAAGTATGTCAATGGAATAAATTCAGAAAGCATATTAAATGTGATATATAATATATATATTCATATTTCAAAATTGTCAGGATCCTGATCAGTGCTGACAATGACACCAATTAAGATTCACTATCACATTTAAAACTTAAAGGAAGCCTTAGTCAATGGTTTATTTTTAAGAAATTTTAAAAAAGAATTCTAAGTAATACTACTAAATAAATCTACCAAAACCTCTCAAGATGAATGATGGGGCAAATAGCTTCCTACTCCCTCTAATCTAAATGCAAAGATCGAACACACAATTATAAATAGCACAAATTTTCCCAAAAGTCCTTATTGTGATGAGAATTAGATTGGGATAAGATCAGAGGTCCTGGAAATGAGCTAGAATGACAATTCTCCTGGTGCCTTCCAAGATCTCAGCAGGAGGCCTGATTAAATTGGAGTATTCTGAAAAAAAAAAAAATTAGTCTGGAGCCAAAAATGTTATCTGTTTTTGTGTTTGTATGTTTCTTAAAAAAACAACATATTTCTATTGATTACAAAGAAGAAAGGAGAGGCAGAGAGAGAGAGAGAAAACCATCAGTGATGACAGAGAATTCCCTACTGGGGATTTGGCCACAACCTGGGCATGTGCCCTTGTCCGGATGGAACCCAGGACTCTTCAGTCCGCAGGCCAACGCTCTATTTACTGGACCAAATTGGCTAGGGCGAGATTTGTTTTAGGTAATGCCAAGAGTGATGTTTTGTCTGCTATAATCAATGCTTTTGATTCCAGAGGAAACAAAGAAGAGGGAGCAGTTACTCTTGTTTGAGAAGTAACAACAGGTAAACATCAGGTAGGTTGCTCACACCTCATAAAATCTAATCAGCAGGTCTTACCGATCACATCTCCTTGCTCATGAATCATCATTCCCAAATCTTTAAATATTTCATTAATATCCATAATATCAGCCTAAGAGAAAAAGGCACATATTATTAAAATCAGAAATTCAGTCCCCAATATACAGAAGGGGAAAATTAAAAACAAAACAAAACAAAACAAAACCGCCATACATAAACTTCAGAAACAACAAAAATTATTTTACTATAAGCAATCCCAGGTAAGCAGAGCTTGAATAACTAACCAATCCCTAAAATAAGTTTGCAACATTAAAAAAATTAAGCACAGCAGGATGGAAATGAGGTATCTATATTAGGAAAGGGCTGTGGTTATCACTAAGTTTATATTATATAATCTGATTTGTTTTGTTATCACAAACATTAGTCTTGCTATTTCCTCACAAGGGCATCAAATATTCTTGTTATGATATATTTCTAGTAAAAATATATACATCAATTTGACAACGTAAAAGAATAAAACATTAAGTGTGTGCAAATTTATGAAATGTGATGGATAAAAAAGTTATAAATTTACTTTTCTTCAATATATAATACTATTATTTTACCTAATTAAAGAGTAAAGTGTTGGCACTTTATTTAGGAGGGATGCGGCGATTTACATATGCATCCTTATCTTAGTTTCCCCATCTAAATATGGCGATGGTAATGCCACAGTTAGCACTTCAGAGACTTATGAAAACTAAATGAGACAGTGAACATACAGAGCTTGTCACCATAGCCCTTGGCACATGCAAGCCCTCAGTAAGCTGTAGCTACTGGTAGGTATTAGAAGCTCACCTTCTAGGGAGCATGTAGGCTTTAGATCTTTTGGACGTCATAAACATAGTACTAAAGAGAAATAAAATACTTTTAAAGCCCTTGAAAGTCATTGTACACGCAGATGAAATCATGTGCCATAGAAGACATCAGACTCCCTGAACAGACATTTACCTCCATGCTGATATTTTTCTCAATTCTAAAGAGGCCTGAGATGACTTAAAAGAATTAAAAAAAAAATGTTAAAGTAGAAGAGAGTATATCCTCTCACCCAGACACAGATTCTAAAGAGATTTTTTTTTAAAGAATTTTATTCTAATTTATATCAGAAATGCCACCAAATAGAAATCTTTATTTAGTTTCCTTTCTTAACCCCTCCCCCAGCATTAGATATACATTTTGAGGACAAAGTCACTAAGAGAAAAGTCATCTGACTCTGCAATGTAAAGCTTACTTCAAGTTGCCTAATAGAAGACTCTCTCTCATGGATAAGGCGGAGGTCATCCTCTGTAATTTCGTCATCTTGTACTTGCACTTGAGATTGAGTTTGGCTGATAAAAAGAAAAGAATATGGAAAAAAGAAAGACTGTATTAAAACAATGAGACTTCTTTCCTACTAACAAATACTAAATAGAATATTTTTTAAAGTCAGAGAATTGCTTAAATTTTAAGAATATAACAGAAATATTCATCAAAGTTTATTCTTATTCCATATGATGGATACTATTTTTTTAGAGTTATGATTTAATTATTGGAAGCTATATTTGGCAGCTGGATATTTCTTTCTGGTTGACTTAGACCTCACACAAGTGAATATATCAAATGGTCATTAAGCAATAATATTTATTTTGACAAATAATTATAAAATGTTATTCCTATATTGGAATAATTATATATATATTTATAGATTATACACTAAATACTGACTGAAACCTTTTTTTCAAAGTTATTATTTGTTTTCAATTTATAAGAAAATTTTTAGGGTAGTCATAATATAATATACTGCAAGTTTTAATTCTATTCTAGGGATCATAATACATAAAATGTATTTGAATAAGTACCTTTTGATCTGTATCATGTTTTATACCGCTTACCTTTCCCACGATACAAGATTCCTGTCTTTTGCGCTCTCCTCAGGAAAACCACCCTGAATAATTTAGCAAAGAGAAGATTGAGAAGGGGCAAGAAAAAAACGCACAACATCACAACATTCACATTTTCCCTTACAATAACCTAAACTGTTTTACATGTGCATGTGAAACATATATGTGTAAAGAAAAAAAATTTTTTTTTCTAATATTGTAGGTCAACTTCTTCAAATTATAATAATATTATATCCTAAGATGACAAGGAGGGCACTCATTAAATATTTCTAAGAGTATTTAATAAACATTAATTAAAATATAATATGATCTTGGAAACTCTACATTAAGAAATAAGAAAATAACTTTTGATAGTGTCTAAAGGAACTTTAAATTAGACTAAGTCAAAATTCTACTCTAAATTATTTGTTCATTTATTTTCTCCAAGTGAATATTCTTCAACATTTGTACAGTATTGGAAGTAAAAAGCAAAAAATGGAAGTATTTAGTAAATTTACTCAAATGAAGCTTAAATGATACAGAACTGAAAATGGCACTTCATACCAACCATTGGAGGAGGTAGTAATATAAAGTATTGGAATTAAAAATATAAGGTCAGCACTAACTGTAAACATTGCTAAAGCATTGTATGTAATGTACAATATATTCACTCTGTCCATTTCCACCTTCATACAACTCTGATGTAGAACGCTCTCTACACTAGCACAGTAACAGCTTCAGGTCCAGTAAGTGTGGGAATATTATTTAGGATTTGACCCCTAATCTTTTCTGACAAAATATTTCTATATTTTTAACGTAATCTATAATAGTTTGTTCCATGACATGGACAAAATAACCACAGTAATACATAACTGTCATCCTTCTTAAAAACTGAGCAGAAACATTTCAACATTTCTCAAGTCCTGACTTATAAGCTTTATGACTTAAAAAACATGTCAATGTGGACTTTGGAGGGATCCCTAGAGTATCATGCTCATTTTTTACAATGCCTTTTAAATACTTACAGATACTCTGGAACTGGCTCTCACTCGGGCCACAAAGTCTTTCTCTTTCTCAGCAGCTTGCCTCTGGACCTTCTGAAAGTTGGTCAGTGATGTTGTGAACTCAGCCACTAAGCGGTCCTTCTGTATTTTCCTTTGACGCTAGAGGAAAGGGGAATAAAACACCTACTAGAATCAAGCTGTGAAGTTCTACAGAATTTGCAAAAGCAGTTTTACCACTAGCTGACTCTTTATTTAACCCTGAAATTCTCGCTCACTCTCCAATTATAGAATCTTACTGACTCTCGATAACATCCTGACAATATGTTCAAATACTGTATACATTTTTGCCTTGAGGCAAAAAGTCCATAATGCAAAAAGTCCTTACCTTGAATTTTCATCCTAAAATCTGGGTCATGATTTTGAGGTTATTTTAAAGTAGTTCTCCTTTTTCCTTTTTAAAGGAAAATAAAACCTTATCCTTTTACCTAACTAAACGTCCACTAAGTAAGCAAGAAAATACATATGTGGCCCCAGGGTGCCTCACATCTTGAATGTGTGCACGTTGGGTGAGGCCGGTCTGGGAAGGCCAGGAAACAATTACTCGGGAGGCATTTTCTGAGCACTTATTTAATTATGGGTCAGGGCAACTGCATGGAAATAATTTTTGCTTTATTGAACCACAGGATATTACCTGGGCAATTAAATATAGTTTTGTGTTCTGTGAACTAATCTCAAATAGGATCTCCGCTCCCCCCATCCCTCCTAATTTCCTTTCTAGCGTAACAACTCAAAAATCCCATAAGACACTGGGTTCCTTTCACATTCAATGCATCAACAATGTGTTTTAAAGCTTGGTACCTGCTCACTGGGGGTGGTGGGCAGAGATCCAAACTCTTTAATGTACTTATCTGTTTCTTTAGCAAGTTGGTTAGTATACTGCTGCTTCTGTTGCCTAAAGAGAGAAACACAGATTATAGAGAAAGAATAAATACTATTTCATTAAGCTATGACTCTGCCACTTGAATTAATCCTGATAAATAGTATTATAAAAATCACTTTTCTACAGACTGCCTCAGAATGTCTAATAAAATTGTCAGAATCTACTCTTTGATAAATACTGAGTAAACATGACAGGGAAAGTTCTTTACTCACACAAGATGGGTAACCAAACTTTGAAGAAATAAGTATCAGTAGTCATTTAGAAGGGAAGATGACTCAAGCCAACTAAAGATTATGAGATGTCTGATGTTTGAGGCACTGAGGGTGTGGGAGTCTTTTATCTGCGTCCCACAGTTGGGAGGTCATCAGTTAGTAAAGAGGATTTGTTGCCTTAAACTTGGCCCAGTTCTCAGGTCTTAAGGTACATCTGGCCTCTCATATTTCTCTACCTGGAAATTTATAACCTACAAATACTTAAAAAGAGAAAAGGGGGAATGGTAGTAAGTAATAGTTCAAATTTATTATAAGTTTGCTGATGAAAAAAAAAATGGCATTTTTCCATAGAGTGTACAGGCCACAATAATAGAAGTAAATTATATCAGTATCTACATCTAACTTGCTAGCTAGCTTATAAAGTTAAAAGATTTCTAACTAAAGAAGATGACACTAAAAAACAGATAATATTCATGTGATGCTTTATAAATTACATCAGTACCTCTCAGACATATTCCATAACATCTCTCATTTTAAACACATATTAGTCACCACTTAGGATTCTTTAAAATAGAAAGATACTACAGAAGAATATGTTTACATACAGACGTCTGCACTTGACCAATAAGGAAAAATTATACCTATTTCCTGAGTACCCTATTTTTAATATGCTTTTTAAACCTTTAGAAAAAGTCATATAATTAAAATTCTAAAAAGAACACTTTAATGATATCTACATATTCAGAATCTATTATTAATGTTAGCAAAATATTGTACTATTAAGAATTATGTGTTTCTATTTAATTTCATTCTAATAAATGATGGTTTATTATTTAGATTAGGGCATTTTTACCACTCTGACATCTATATACAACAGAGAAGTACAATATAAATTAGAGATATATTTAAAAAAAATAAAATAAAAAAATAAATTAGAGATAACTGTAAATTCTTCAAATTGTAATTGATAAGAAATGGGAATTATTATTACCTCTCTTTTAATTTCTTCCTCATTTTTTCCTTCAGAGCCAATGTTTGGCATATAACCCATTATATATATGTTACTTGAAATTTTCAGCTTTGTCTGTGTTGAGCTAAGATTTAAAACAGGTTCCGAATGATGTTGGGCAAATCATCAAACCCCGAGTGGACATAGTTTCCTTATAAGCAAAATGAAAATAGTTCTTTGATTTATTTCACCACAATCTTATAAGGTTCAGATGAGAAAATGTGCAAATAAAACACTCTGTAAAATCTATAACACCACAAAATATAACTGCTGTTCTTCTAACAGCATATTCATTTACTGAAATATGTGTTATATAAACATATTATATTTTTTAACAGAAATTAATGCTTCCTGAAATTCAAGTATGTTGGTATAAGTTTTGGGGAAATATCCCATATTGGATATGTATTTGATCTAAACCAAATAAAAACCTGGTCCCTGTAGCACTGTAGGGATGGATAGCCATGGGACATAAATCACACACATGGAGAAGCTTAGAGTACTAGTTTTCAAAAGCCATAAAAAAAAACAACCTATTTAAAAAGTATAAGAAAACCCATGTTCACTGACAATAGGGTGGTAAAGGCTTGGGGCAGGGGTGGCCTAGGAGAGGTCAATGGGGGGACAAAGGGACATATGTAATACTTCCAACAATAAAGATTTTTAAAATAAATAAAACTGAAAATGAAAAAAAAAGTAACTAAAGAAGTTCTGCTTTATATGGTAAGCCATATCTTTAAAAACAAACAAACAAACAAACAAACAAACAAACAAACATCTGTTTACTCTGGATAAGAAAAAATGTACACAAAAGTTTGGTACAAACGGGAGCAGAAATACCTTATTAATTTCCTATTGTTTTCTCCAGTAAGCATAACATTACACACTATGAAAGGAATATAACAACAGTTATTGTTTCCCATTCTTCCTTTTTCTTGTTTAATTAAATACTTACAGCTGTTGCCTCAATTCAGGTGTATCTTGAGGTGTTCCAAGTTGATTCAGTGTCCTCTGTATTTCCACAGCTAGTATGATGGAAGATAAATGTACAATTGTTATAGATAGCAGGGCAACAGAAAATAAGTTAGAAATTATCGATAATATAAGCGATTGGGTAGGGAGGAAAACAAAGATAAATATAGAAAACAGTTTAAAAAGTGAAATAAATGGTTTATTTGAATCCAATTAGTGATAATGAATTAATTTTCAAGAGGAAATTGTGTGGGGGCATTAACAGCAAATTGCACTTAGGATCCAAAGGTATTATATTCTTCCCTTCCCCATCAGAACATTAGGCACAATGGCACATGGACTTTCGTTAAAAATTATGAGAAAGATAACTGCAACAATTACACAATTCATTGGAATATAAATATAAAGTAAATGAATTGTGGTTAACAAACGAGGGAGGAATAACAGAATTAGAAAAAAATCATTTTTCAATTACTGTGTAATAAGTGATTCAAGTAGATCATCAAAGGATGAGAAAATCACAGGATATTCATAAGACCTGAAATTACTACCACATAGATGGCATTCATTACAAAAGAGCTCACTTATGAGAGGTAAATTTGTAGCTTAAATCAAATAATCACATTTAGCACCACTAATGGCACAAACTGGCACTAAGAGCCTCCTGACAATGCGGTAAGAAAGTCACAGTAGAGTGGAAGCCGGTTTGGCTCAGAGATAGAGCATCAGTCTGCGGACTGAAAGGTCCCGGGTTTGATTCCGGTCAGGGGCATGTACCTTGGTTGTGGTCACATCCCCAGCAGGGGGTGAGCAAGAGGCAGCTGATCGTTGATTCTCTTTCATCGATGTTTCTAGCTCTCTATCCCTCTCTCTTCCTCTCTGTAAAAAAATCAGTAAAATATATTTAAAAAAAAAAAAAAAGTCACAGTAGGACCTATGCGTTTGTCTTGCCAAAATATTTAACCTGCATCTAATCATGAGAAAGAAATCAGATAACTTACAAAAATAGTGGCCTGGACTTTTAAAACGTCAATGCTACAAAAAGAAAAAAAATTAAAAGCAGGCAAGCTTTTTAAATTAAACAATAGAAGAGCCCAAAATAATAAAGTATAAAAAAGGTAGTGTGATTTTTCACTAACTTATAAATCACGGTGGGAAATGCTATAAAAATTGAGGGGACAATTGAAGAAGTTGAATTTGGAGTGAAGGACACCAAACAAATGTTGAAAAGCTTCAACAATTGGTGAACCCCAGTGAAGGTACATAAAAAGCTCAGTATACTATACTTTTAATTTTCTATAGGTTTAAAATACTTAAAAGTTAAAAATCAAGGATTTAAAATTCATGCTAAGCTTACAAACCAGAAGTCTATAACCAATGCAATTAAAATAATAATAATAATAATAATAAAAAAAAGCTCTCTTCACAATAGGGGAGATTACCTAGTTTGACATGTAAATATGGAATACCAAGTAGAAACGAGTTGAAAATCCAGCTTAAGAACTAGAGAAAAATAATCCAACCCACCCATACTTTTCATTTAAAATACATGGTTTACTTATATAGCTTACATGCTTTTAAATAGTCATTATTTATTTATGGGATGAAGGGAATGATTGTATTCCAAAACACAGGATAACTTTTGTTCACTGAGGATGATGTAATGATCACAGCTTTCAAATCAGAGTTGGAAAGTATAAATACTGAAGAGGAATCATACAGTATATAGCAATTGTTAACCACCCAACTAGTTTCAAAGGAATCTCTTTTGCTTTGATTTTGGCAGATTTTCCTTTTGCAGGGTAGAGAATTCTTGTTTGCTGTTTTTAACTTATGCTTGCAATTAGTTATATATTTTCTTTTTACCTCAACAGATTTTCTTGAAATATCTTTTAGAGATTTAAAGCTATTTTTTATTTTTATTTTTTCAAGTGTGTTGGTCAGACTAATTGAAGTGTAGACCTCTAAAGGATAAAGGCAGGCATTGACCTCGTCTCTTGTCTTTTTAAAAAGTCCTATTAAGCCATGGGCAGGTTGGAGCACCATACACCAAAAGGTTGTGGCTTCAATTCTCTGTAGGGCATGTACTTACATTGCGGGTTTGATCCCAGTCAAGTGAGAATAGGAGGCAACTGATCCATATTTCTAACATCTATTTCTCTCCCTCTCTCCTCTTTCAAATCAATAAACATATGTTCAGGTGAGAATAAAATTTTTTTAAAGTATATGATTTTCTAACCACTGTGCTGTATACCTGAAACTAATATAAAATATTGAATATAAATGATAACTGAAAAATAAATATTAAAAAAAAACTATCACCCACCCAAAAAAGAATTTCAACTGCTTCTGAAAGGCCCAGTGGGAGCCTAAATACCTCAAGCAGTATTCCCCTAGTTTATTTTTTTCAAACAGACAGACTCAGCAGCCCCAGTTTTAATGCTTTCTGCCTACAGGTTAGGGAAAGGAAGAGAAAACTGAAACTCCTGGTAGCTCTGCACTCTAACAAAACAGTGAACCGAAGAAACTGCAATCCAGCTAGTTCAAGTGCTAGTACAAGTAGCTCCACAACTTGGCGTTAATGACCCCATTGATCCAATGGTAGCTGAAATGCCTGTTTATTACCGGGATGCTGTATAAAAACAGTTTCAAGTCCCAATTAAAAAAAAAAATCCATAGGAGTCCCTTAGAATCTTGAGGCTGAATCATGCTCTCTTTGGCAAACCCATTTATCCTTCTGAGGACGAGCTTTGATCTTGCTACTGAGCCCTGGATTAAAAGTCAACATTGCTATACGAGGTAACCAAGCGACCTGAGCTGCCCATGTGCATTAGGTGTTACACATTGGCATATCTCTTACTTCATTTTGTTCTATGTATGCCAGTCAGCTTGTCCCTCACCCCACTTCCTATAGCATTTTTTTCAATGGGAAAATAAACTAGGAATGGAGGGATAAAAGCCACATGTAGGCTCATCAACATGGACTTCCCCTTCCTCACACAGACATGATTACTGGCAATGTTACGTACCACTTTGAGGCAACAGCAAGCAAATGTGAATATGTGATATGACACCATTCTGGGAGGTATCAGGCAGTCACCCTGTGGCAAGATGATTGTACCCCTTCCACCTTAGTGGAGGCAGAGTTTTATATGACTGAAGCAGTAGCACTGTAGATCACCCTAAGATTCAACCAGCTTCCCAGTCCATGTATCAGTCACAATCATGGTATTCCACACACCAGTGCTTCTGAGCAAGATGAGAGAGAGAGAGAGAGAGAGAGAGAGAGAGAGAGAGAGAGAGAGAGAGAGAGAGAATAGGACACAGGCATTCATTGCCCTGCCGGTACTCCTTTATCTGGAACCTGCTGGGCTAGAATGTCTAATGGCCTAACGAAGGCTCAATGATGGTGTCGCCTGGGAGACAGTATTTTTGAAAGCTGTCCCACAGGATCATTATGCTCTCAAAGGATAACCACTCCAGGGTGCTGTTTCACCCGCAGCCAGGAAGAAAACTTAGATTTTGGAACTATGGGGTGGAAGTTGAAGACACATATTTCACATGTGTACCAAATTACCCCACGGCAAATTTTCCTCCATCTCTGGCGGCGACAGAGACAATATCCAAGTCAGAAATACAATCATGTCTTCACCCAAGTAGAAGAATGCATCTGTCTATTTGGTGCGAGGATAGTATGTCATTGACTGAGGTCGTTGCTAATGGGAGGTAAGGGTATACCAACTCATACCAACATGAGAGGAGAAGGGACTTAACTCTTAGGGAGCAGCTGGAGGGAACTAGTTAACACTGCCATCTTTAACCTTAACAGTTAGTATCCCATAACATGTGAGCCGGAGCAACAGGGACCCTGGTTTTAAAGTCTGGGTCACTCTAACCAGTCAAAGTGTTGAATGAAGGCAGAGAAACATGGAATGGCTACTCAGGGAAAAAGCACTAATACAAACTGCACCTGTTGCCAGCTATAGAGCAGCAATTGCAGTGAAAGAAGTTTCTAGATGGATGACAAACGGGATGGTGATGTGGATAAACGGATAACCTCTCCTGGTCTCTCCACGGCAGTCTAATGGGTTTCATTTCATTATCTAGCTTGTGTATTGTGAATTTATGGGATAGTCATATTCAATTTTAACTGGCATATGTCCAACTTTAAAGAGAACTCTTGAAACATGAAACATAAGGAACATATTCTTTACATAACCTTAAACAGTTTCTTGAAAAAAAAATTTACATAGTCCATGGAGGTCAGATCAGATCAAGATGTACCCCTGCAAGGGTACAATGAACAAATTATTCTTACATTGTTCACTTCTAGAGAGAAGACCTTAGGGAATATGTTACATTTTTTCATAAAAATCAAGAGGACACTATTTCCTATACATCCAAACATCCAAGAAAATGTGCACTGCTATTTCCTCAAAACAAAAACAGTCCCCAGCTCGGAATCTGCAGAGCTTCAGAGGATTGAAGAGCCATTCTGTTCCACGAGGGTTTGCTGCCATCTAGTGGAATACTTAAAAAAAAATGCTTCATAGGAAAGTAATTTTTGTGTCATAAACCTGAGGCAGCAGTTGGTGTTTAAGGCTATGTAATGTGACCTGTCAGTTCCCCGGGGAACAGGGAGGACACGGTTGGACCAGCGGGAGTGTCAGGCTAAGGAGCACCCTGGCCAACCCTAACAGGACAGAGAACGCCTTCAAATAACGGAATAGAATAAAGCTATCTTCTCTCTTAGCACAAAACATTCCCATTGCTCAATCCAAAACAACTCAAGTTGTAACATCCAATCATAGGAAACATGACTAGCAATATATCACAAGTAAACATGTGTATCAGGGGGACAAGTGACTTTGAGATCTGACTCCGTCTCACCCTCAGCACACTGAAGAAGTCGAGTTTACTGCCGACTAGGAAGCAACCTTGGGGCCACGCACCCTGATTTGGAAACCTGAACTCTTCATCCTGGATGCTGACCTTGGCCAGTTTACTTAATCTCTCCAAGAGATAATTGCTTCGAGAGTCAAATGGTGAGAAA